TAATGTAATATATAATATAGTCGGGATTGGAGTCAAGGTGGAGTGGAGAAATACCACTCCTACTCATCTCAGTCCCTAGAGTTTTGGGTTTCCTCGAACCCCGATTAGTGGTTCTAGAGAATGATTACTAGGAATGGTGTAAGGAAAAGATACACAAGGCTCAGCTATTGGCCACATGGTAGACTAGAGGGGAAGCCCCTATCAGTGTCATGTCCAATAATTTCTTAGTTGGAACGTAGTAAACAAATCCGATGAAGTGATGTAATGGACAAATCATTATCAAGTAGAGATATAAACTCCTAATATAAAGAATAGGATGTGTACACAGAAGCCAATCTATATGGAAGCAAAGAAATTGCTTAGTACATTTGGGTTTGGATGGAATGAAGCTAGAAACCAGATACAAACAAACTCATAGGTTTGTGAGTACTTACATGTAAACTGATATAACTTGATTATCGTGATCTCTAGCAGTGGTGTTATCACAATAAAATCATTATTCTCAATGCAGGCAAACCCACTTGCAGATGTTGAAAGAAGACAAATCATGGAGATTACAATGAGTGCAGGTGGTATTTGCCAATGACTAAATGATTACATAATCAGTTTTTGGACAAGTATAAGTCCATGGACAATGTTAGGTGTAAGGTTTGGACAGGTATAGGGCTATGGATAATGTTGGGTGTAGGTTTAGGACAATTCTAAGTCCATAGACAAGTCTAGGTTCATGTTTGAAAAAGTACCAAGTCCATGGAAAACTTTGAGTAGAAATTTTGTAAAGATCTAGATCCCTTGACTTGGTTGGATGCTGGTTTGGACAAGTCAGTCCATGCACAAGTCTACATTCATGTTTGGACAAGTATAAGTCCATGGGCAACAGTTCAAGTTTTGTAGAGGTCCAGATCCCTTGACATGGGTGGGTGTAGGTTTGGACAAGTCCAAGTCCATGGACAACTCTAGGTTAACGTTCTGGATGGGTCTAAGTCCATGAAGAGGTTTGCATTCAAGTTTTGGACATGTATAGGGTGATGGACAAGGGTCACTTTGTTTTATTTTAATCATTTTCACAATTATCATCTTTTCCATTTTCCATATCTTATCACTTTGTTCTTTCCTTGGAGTGTGTTGATCCTTTTTTGGGTTAGCTCTTTCATTTTAGAATTTAGTTAGAAGCCTTACTACGTACCCCAATGTTATTCTACATCATTATTACCTTTTAAATTCTCTCTTCTACTTTCTTTCCTACATTTCTTTCAATGGTCATTTTTATGGAGCAAATCTCCATCACTTATCTTAATGTCTAATTTGCAGCATTTTATGAGTTTATTAATTATTTTTTTTAATCTGATGGAGGGTGATTTGACCCAACCTCGTAGCACAGGGACATGTGTGCATGACCTACCTCGACGAACAACTCAACCTAACAACGCAATTGTGACTCGACAGGAGGGACCCGCCGAGTCCAACATTGGCCACTCGGCAGGTTAAATGACTCGCTGGGGACTAGCACCCGACCAACCTTGACTCCCACCAAGTGTGGGAGATCCCGAACCACTCTCAGGTCCCAAACTCCTCTCAGGGCCCGAGCTCCTCCTAAGGGGCCCCGAGCTCTCCCTTCCTAAGAAGGAAGCACCCCGGTTTTTGGCTAAGTGTCCCGAGGGAGAAACACCTCGGGGCAGCACCGTCGAGTCTCCTGTTCGAACTTGCTTAAGGCCTGCCTCCAGTGTGGGCACCTCGGTGCAAGGCAAACCTACCCCAGATGGTTCGGCGTACAATAGCTTGGCAGGCTGCAGGGAGATCTGCCTAACATCCGTGCCTGCCTGACATCTGTACCTACCGGATCCGATGGCAGGGCTCGGATCCCTTACCAGGCGGCGTTTTGCTTGTCGTCTCTAAAAAGCATGGCACGTCTATCGAGTCCATACCTTGCAATAGCAGCCTGTAGCAGCAACCTGCACCTGCCACACCTGCTTTGGCAGTAACGGCTAGGGCAATGGCGGTTATGCCAGATGTGACCGAGCTCCGATATAAAAGAACCCCAACCCCCACGAAGCAAAGGTATTGAAGCTAGCACTTTCAGCACTCTTAACTCTTTGTATCTTCTTTGAGTTTTCCCCAGAGTTCTAACTTAGCCATCGAAGTGTTCCCTCCGGGAGAGCCCCCCGGGACCCTTCACCTTCTTCTTCCTCTAAGGTGTCATCATCCATCACAGCTAGGAGCCAACTCTCAGCCAGGTAGGAGTGCCCAGATTGTGCAGCATCATTTGGCGCCATTTGTGGGAACGCTTCAAAAGGCCTTCCTCTAACTTCTGTGAAACTTCCCTCAAAGAACTCATAATCACCATGGCTTCCTCCAGCAACTCCAGACGCCGGAACACCCCAGAGGAACAACTCCAGCTACCCACTGTCTGCACCGGGCAGTTCACTGCCACCCTCTCTGTGGACGGGGTACCTAGTCTGAATGTGCCCCTAACGGTGGCACCCGTGACCGTTCCATTACCCTCTACCATTGGAACAACCTTTGCTGAACCCACCATCCTCCCTCCGATGGCCAGCCAAGGTCAGTTTAAAGACCTGATTCAGTGCATGCGAGCCATGCAGGCCCAAATGCAACAATTCCAACAACTTCAATTCCACAAGGAGAAAGTGTTCCACCAAGTGTCCCAGTATCAGTATCAGCAACAAATTCCTTCACTCCCTCCCCAACATCCGGCTACACAGCCGACCGAGCCTCACCACCGTAGTGAATTCCCTTCCCGCCAAGGAGAGACCTCGGCATCGTCTCATGGAAGGAAGGAAAGGCTCCCTACCCTCGTCTCGCGGCCTGCAGTCAGGACGGGGGCCTCCTAGTCGGCCAAGCCGGTGTCACCTCAGCATTTGCAGTTCGAACCTCTGCTTGTAGAGAATCGGTTCGAAGGGCTAGTCGACGACCTAGAACAGGGTCCCTCTGTTCGCAGCTACCGACAGTCGTCCCTGCCTCCCCCTGGGCCCATCAAGCTCGGTAACACCGAGGCCAACAACACCAACGCCGAGCCGGCCAAGAAGCAGCGGAGACGTCGCCGAGCTCACCGAACTGCCACCTCCCACAATCTGCCCGAGCTTAGAGGCAAAGTGGAAGCAAGTTCGGGAGAGGTAAAAGCTACACCACTTCTCTCGGTCCCCTCCCCTCTATCCCCGGAGCTCCTCGTTGTCCCCATGCCAAGGGACTTCAAGCTCCCCTCGTTGGACAAGTACAATGGGTCCTTTGACTCCAACAATCACGTCGACGCCTTCCAGTCCCAGATGCATCTGGCCAAGGTGAGTGAGTCTTGCATGTCCATGGCCTTCTCCACTATTTTCAAGGGAGTAGCCCGCACTTGGTACCGAAACCTCGCACCGGGTTCAATAAGGAGTTAGGCGCAGTTCGTGCAGGTCTTCACCTCCCACTTCATCACTAGTAAGAGGTGCCCGAAGATCCAAGAAAGCCTCCTCAACATAGTCCAGAGGGAAGGAGAGTCCATTCGGAACTACATCAAGCGGTTTAATGACGCTTGCTTGCAGATATCCGACCTAGACCCTATAGTTCGGCTCACTGCGGCCAAGGAGGGCATTATCCACAAAGAGTTCAGGTGGCACGTGGTGGTCAACCAACCCAAAACCGTGACCGAGTTCCTCGAATTAGCAAATCAGTTCATAGGGACAAAGGAGGAGATCAACCAGAAGGGTGAACAGGCCCTAGAAAAAAGAAAAAGGGAACCGGAGCCTCAAGCTCCAAGTGACAGCAAGAAGAATAAGGACCTAGCTCGGGGGGCAAAGCCAATTCAGCCTTTCTGAGCTCTGACAGCAGAAAGGGATTATACGCCCCTCAACATGAAACGGGCCAAGATCCTCATGGCAACCAAGGACACCCCATATGTGAAATAGCCACCTCGGCTTAAGGTCAATCCCAATGTTAGGAACAAAAACTTGTATTGTAGTTTCATAGAGATCACGGTCATAGTACCGAAAATTGTAAGAATCTCCGCGACGAGATAAAAGAACTTTTCCGTCATGGATATTTGAGAAATTTTGTACAACATAATAATAGTAATAAAGCAACTCGACACGGGGAGTAGAGTAAGGAAACTCCTGAGTCCAACAGACAAGCAGAGGAACCACAAAGGCAACCTCTGACGAGATACCAGTCCAGGGGACCATCCATGTAATTGTCAGAGAATCAATCATCGTAGGCTACACCTTAGCAGCAGCTCGATCATCAACCCGCGAGGCCGCCGGGGAAAACCCCCCGAAGCGGCCCAAGATGGAGGAATCAATCTTCTTCACCGAAGACGATGCGCGAGGGATCCATTATCCCCATGATGATGCATTCGTCATAAAGATCAAAATCAATGACTTCGATGTCAAACGCGTCCTAGTCGATTCGAGCAGCTTGGTAGATATTCTCTTCAAGACGGCCTTCGATCAGCTACAGCTCCAGGAAAACGACCTAAAACCCGCAAACACTCCACTCGTGGGATTCAACGGTGAGGAGGTCAAGCCTTTGGGGTCGGGGTGACACGAGGTCATCGGCTCAAATCCCGCAAATGCTACGTAACCGCCCTACAGACTTCGAGGTAGTCACTATTAATGTATGTTTTAGTGACAATCATTTTATAACCGTTGTTAAAATATGATATAGTAACGAATATGCCCATCATTATAGACAAGTGTATAATAGTAACAACCACTTTTGTCACTATTATCATATCAAAAACTTTTGATAAAAGTTTTAATAACATTTTTAAATCATTACTAAATCCAAAATCCTTCCCATATTGACGATTTAGGACCATCACTACAAATTATCAAAACGTCACTAAATGTATGCTTATAGTAAAGACCTTCAATCCGTCACTATGCCACTTTTATAAAGCAAGGTGAACACTGTTATATGTATTTTTTATATTGAATTTTGTTTATCGCAATGGTCATTTATTTAAATTAATAAAACCTCTAATTTATCCATTTGCACATAAATTTTTATTAAAAGATATTATAAAAGATAATTACATCTCAAGTAAAATTTACATGAAGCTATGTGTTCAATATATATTACAATTTTCAAATTGCTTAACAATACAATCAATAAGTAAAAATTTGATTCAATGTGTCTCGATCCAAAAGATGCAGCCTCTTATGTATTCAACATCCATTACTTGAGAATGATAAACAAAGAGGTCCACCTAAAAATGCAACCAAGAAATGACTTAAGTAAAACTGTTAAGAATAAAAAATAACAGTTTAACAAATGGCCCAAATAAGAGAGCTTAAAACCCCATTGCTGGATAAATCACTAAAAGGCTTTTGGGTTTGATGATTCAATCATTTTTGTATTTTCTAAAATACAAATTTCATAGGCTTTCATAGAGTTGATAACCATTAGAAATGGCCAGAGGAAGGTCCAAAGAATACACATTCACGAAGGTCATAGAAATAAATTGCTAATGGAATGTGGCATGTTGTCTACTTTTAAGGAAGAATAATATTTGTTCATTTTATCTGGTACAAAGAAAAAGCCATGGCCTTAGCCTAAAACATGCATGTTAGATGGGCTATTCCACAACAATCTGTTCAATCACTACCTTTCCTAATAAACCAGGACCTAAGTACTAGACTTAACCTGTCAAATGCACTCATGAATCTAAACTGAAATTGATCATAAGGGAGAAATTAGCATCAGGTAGCATTTCGAAGCTTCAATTTCTTTGAATTCCATGCCAATCAACAATTCAGATCTAAAGGCTATATTCTCAACACTTAAGGATTCAACTTTCATTGCAAGTTCATCAGTCTCTTCCTAAAATAAATGAGTAAACAATAAGTATAGACCCATCCACTTACATAGGGATAGCCAACTTCAAAGGGAGAAAGCATCAGTACATAGAGAACATGTCAATAATGTTTTCTTGGGTCCAACACATTAAACCCATATCAGATTTTAGCACTCACACCAGTATCCTTATCCACATGACATATAGAGCATGACAATAAGTTTTGCTTCACATAAATGAGACAAGTGGCATGGAGAAGAAAAAATCATCTAAATGTTGAAGGGAAATATAAGCAAACAATACCTGCACCTAGAGTTCAAAAGGAATAGTAGTTGTATTGGCTTTTGCTTTCCCATTAAGGAAACCTCTAAGCTCCAATGCTGGGGTTATGCTGGATACAGAAGTTGTTCCGATATGATTGTTTTTCATCTAACATTGGTATTAGCTCCACTAGAGATATGTTCACCCATGCAGCAGGCATGACACTTGACTATATTTCAACTTTCCTATCTATCCATATTTGCTACAAAGGTTGAAAGTTGTAAAGAAACAAGGTTTCCTTGTCAAGATTTAAACCAAAATTCAATCCAAAACAAATCCCAAGTGATGGATCATATTTTTCAAATTAGAGAGACCTTTGTAATTTGGTGCTGATCAACCAGCGTTTCCTTGAGTCCCTTTTAGTGGGTAAAATAGTATCTGACACATCATTTCACTGGTGGATAGGATGCAATTGGCTTATAATTAACCATAGGAGAGATGCCAAATCTATTGAGTTGCTTGAAAATATTCTTAGATGGAATGTTGAATTTTTCTTTCCAAAATCAATATCAGACACATCTCTATAGGTAAACACCTTTTCCATTGATTTGAAGACAATATGAAAACTCCTTCAAATGTCCCCACTTAGACTGATAAAGATTACCTGTAGAGATTCTAACAACTTTTGTCCATATCAAATGACAGGACTGATGTTACAGATATGAAGAATATATAATTTGGCATCCTCGACAGTGTTGAGAACATGATAACATCTAAGTTGCTAGAAAAATCTACTGTAAAAAGAAATATAAAATTATGAATATATTGTATGAAATAAAATTTACTTGAAAGACAAATATTTATTAGAAAAAATAAAACCTGTAAGATCACATGCATTCTAGAAAGCGTAAGTCTCTATAGCATCCAACCCACCATCCTCTGCTTTTCTTATTAAATCTAGCCATGTTTGCATTAACCATAAACAAATAGTAACATTGAAAACCTCCACTGAAATACCTCTCTACCATCAAATCATATATATCGGGCTCTATATCGTCAGTAATCTTAAATGCTACTTTGATAGTCAAAATATAGTCCATCTAGTAGACTATTTTTGGAAAAAAAAAACCAATAATGATTTTAATAAGAAATGGTTTCTTTGGTTGCTCGCTTCAGTCAAATATATGCTACAAGCTCATCATAATATCCAAAAAGAAATATTGGTTGTTTGCTTCAATAATAAAGATAGATTATTGAAGGTAATATTATAACAATATTATATGTGAAATTGGAAACAGTATCAAAAGAAAGGGAGAAAAGGTAGCAGGGGGGCTCTTATTTCATTTCTAATGACAAATACTTTCATACAGATAGGAGCAATACAAGAAGAAGAAGACGGCATGATATGATAGAGAGAACGCAGAATTAGCAACTCTCCCTGATCCTACCATATTAGTTGAAGGTCTAGATAAGATCTAGACAGAGAGATGCTAGTATTTAATTGGTGAAACAGTTTTTGGTTTTATTTAGAAAATAATTTTATCTTTATAACCAATAGAAAGATGCTTTTCAAAAGACATGTTCCTGATATAGATGACTATTATTTAGTTGGAATAAATACCAAAAGATTTCAAACATCCTTTAAAGCTTTCATGGAATGGATCCGTATATTCATACCAATCCACATTAAATGGATTCTGTGGGTTCATACCACGGAAAGGCAGGCTCACCTTGTGCACCATGTCAAATTAGAAATTCAAGACTATTGGGTTCAGCTTTAAAAACAAGAAATACACTATCCAACCAAAAATTCAAGACTATTGGAACTCTAACTCAAATGCCACTATTCACAGTACGGTGATTTATCAATCAGCTGGTGTGTACTATTTAAACTTTAAATCAGCTACCTAAAATTCAAATCAGTTGAGGATAAATGTATACTATTTCATAAAGACAATCTAATTCACAACATTTCTTGTGAAAGCAATTTTTTCAAGCCAAATTCCACCCAGATTGAGGCATTCCATTGGGAGGTAGTTCATTTGTTTATGAGATGCATTAGAAAAAGTAGACTTAGATGGCCCCATATCCTATAGATGCATTTGTAAGTTAACATATAAAATCACTTTTTATTTGCTAATATCCTACCCATTCATTAGTAGAATTTTGAAGCATTTCTTTGCTTTGTTGGAGCCAACTTGACACCCCAATAGGACACAAGCATCCCTTCTCCCCCTGCCCACCCCCTGAGAGAGGAAGATAGATATGGTCTTAATAAAGGTGCATCAGTGCTGCTATCTTTGACCTGTTTGGGGAAAAACAACATAATGATAAGGTCTTATTTGAGATGCTAAGCATTTCTGTCACTGTTGGAGGTTTTGGGGCCCTATTGCCAACTAGGGGTTTGCCACTGCTATATGTTCCAATATAGCAATCCCTTTCCTTTTTGTTATGATATAGGTGTATTGCAGTTTTTAGTTACACAATTATGTATAATTGATTGTAAAATTAATAAAACTGGTCTAGCCTGGAAAACTAGGAACGAATTCTATCATTCCCAGGAGGATATAATCTGAATATCTCCTAGAAAACTAAAAAATAGGAACTCCTAGCCAACGTCAACAAATTGTATGCAAGTTACACAATTATTATACTAGAACACAGTGAAGCAGAAATGAAGAATAAGCAACTAAAGTCAATGGAATTCATGAATGTAAAATAATTAAACACTTCCTCAAAAATCAAATTATAATTATAGAAGTGCAGTCTCGAAAAAATCTCAACTAAACAACAAATTCAAGCACACACAAAGCTATTATAATAGCACCAAACCATCATTATTGTAATCGAATCTCATTTCAATAAACATCAATTGAGGAAAAGCCGTTTTCAAATTCAAGAAATGAATTTTGGGCAGACAATTCACTCTATACGAAACCCTAACTTCAACTAAAACCGTATAGAATCTTAATTAGCTTTCTTTTTGGAGTGAAAGAGAAGAAAAGGAGGTACCTCGAGAAGCTTTGGTTTCGATATGGAGATTTTAACTTAACAGTAGGGAATGAGTGATAAGGTATATCTGAAGAAGTGAAGAAGATTGAAGGATGAGAAAAACAACGCCAAAACCTTGCACAGGAAGCATAGATTTAATTCTTAACTAGGAAGGATATAGATTTTGACGTGTTTTGTACATTCAATCCACCATTTTTTCCTTCAAAATTGCAAGAATCAACCACCCACGACATACAGAATAGGGAGAGATTTTTACCTTAGTATGTATGGATGAGAGGCAATTGGAGTAACTGGAATATTAACCCATGCCTTGAGGTCGATGTGATTGGTTTGTGTCGTCTGGTGGAGAGCAAAGACAACCAAACCAGTGAGGGGCAATCCGAGAGTGAGAGAGAGTTTCACCTGATGATGCTAGCGTCATTGGTTGAGTGTTGTTGGGTGGTGAGAAGGTCGAGAGAGAGAGAGAGAGATGGAGATACAGAGAGGGCGGGAAATAGAAAAGGGTATATGTGAAGGAGGAGAAAAGGGTTTTATGTTTGTTGCATATTCAAACCAAACACTATAATTTTCCTTGCATATCGAGAGGGAAAGTGAAGGGTCAAGGAGGCGGTAGATTTTGATTGTTTTAAAATAAAAGTTTTACCGCCGGGGCTATGGAGCGGGAGATTCACTTGCAACCAAAAACAAAAACAAAAGTTTTTTATTAATTAATCTTACATATTATCTAATCATTTTTTAAACATACTTTAAGTGGATATTAAATTATAGTTAAATTTGATTTTAAATTTTAATTTTATTAATCATAGTTTTATTTTGAAATGAAAAGTTTATTAACTAATTATAAATGGCATTCTAAATTTAACAAATTTAAATATATTAATTAATACATAACAAATTTATTAATTAATTTAAATCGATATAAAATAGATTTTAATTTTTACCAATTAGTTTAAATTTTTCCATTTATATAATCTTTTTAAATATAATTTAAATAAATAAAAATAAAAATTAATTGGAATTTTAAACCAATATTTATATATGTAACATTGTTTTGCAAACTATCCTTGACTTGGTTAGTTAGATTGATAAAATGGTGAACCAACCATAATTATAGTTTAGGTCAACCTCAAATTTACCATTAGCTTGAAAAATATTGACTTGAACAAAACTATTTGTATAATATTTTATAATATATATAGAGAGAGAGAGAGAACTATATGGTATAATATAGTTATGAATTTAGAAAAAATTGCATATTTTCTATAATTTTGATTATAAAATTAATTAACATTTTATACTTTTTCATATAATTTATTACTTAATTGGAGTTAGGGTCGAGTTCAAACTTTTTAAACATCTCTCTCTCTCTCTCTCTCTCTCTCTCTATATATATATCTATCTATCTATCTATATAAAAGACAGTCCATGTCACTATGCCTCCCCTTGCTCTATTACCCCCACCCTACATTCTCCTTGATTCTCTCTCCTCCCTCCTTTCCACCACTCCCATTTTACCAATTCAGCACCCCTTCTCTCAATTCCTTAATTAACTTAATATATTACCTATAAGATCTCCCCAATTATTGGGTTGTATAGCACCAATTATTCACATAATTAACACTAATTAATTTAATTAATTTTGTTTACATAATTAACACAATTAACATTAAAATGGTTAATTATAAGTTTATGTAATAATTACTTAATTTACACTAATTAATTTATTGAATTTTTAACACATTAAACCTTTACTTTATTAGGTTTCTTAATAAAACTTAGTTAGATTGTTTAATTAAAAAAATTACTTAAGGATGGCAATTTCCCCATCCTTGCTAGGTATTCGTCCTCCCCGACACAATGGGAATTAATAGGGATCCCTAATTGAGGATGGGAATGGGTATAGAGAGTGAAGTCCCTGCCTTGCCCCGACCCCGATTATATATATATACATATATATATATATATATATATATATATATATCAAGATATATTAAAAATATTATTTATGTTTTAAAATTTTCTCTAGCTTAAGTGAATCAATTTTCCAAAAATACTTTTAATTAAAAATTTTAATTAACTTCAATTACATAAATAATAGTGAATTGGTTAATTTTGTTATCTTAATTAAGAAATGAAGAGAAAGGGTGTTGAGTTGGCAAAATGGGAGTGGTGGGAAGGGGAAAGGAGAGAGAGTTAAGGAGGAAGGGTTTGGAGAAAGGAGAGGGTAGCTAACGTGGACCATAGGAAATTCGTATTTGTTAGGGATTAGGGATGGAGGGTAACTTTTATCCCTGATAGTGGTTAAGGTCGGGGTGGGGAATATGGTCTTTGCCCTGAACCCACTCCATTGCCATTCAATTACTTATCATAAACAGTATTTTACTTATTTTACTATTAACTAACAACTACTATTTAAATTTAATTACAAAATAATAATAATTTATTAACAATAATTATGGTTTAATTAGCCTTAAATTAACAGTAATTATGCATTTATTATGTTACTATGAATTACCTTCCTTCGATCTTATTATTTGATTTTCAAATTTTACCATGCATCACACGAGACCTTGCTAATATGTATGTATATATATCGAGAGAGAGAGAGAGAGAGAGAGAGAAGGGGGGGGGGGGGGGGAAAAGAGAGAGAGAGAGAAATATATGGTATACTTTTTGGTTATGAATTTAGAAAAAAATTTGCATATGTTTCTATAATTTTGATTATAAAAATAAATTAACATTTCATATTTCTTTTTCATATAATTTATTAATTCATTGGCTAGCTAGCTGGAACACCAAGCCCTAGACATATTATTAAGCATAATGTATGGGCCAATCAAGCCTCCACATCATTAAAAGCTATTAATGGCCTATAAAAACTTGACTTAAGAATATCCCTACATAGAACTTAAATGGAGTTTTACCAAAACTTTTTTTTTTTAAATATCTAAATGTTTAACCTATTGCCCATTGTTCAAATAAATCAATTCAATAATTCAAATGTCTAATTCATTATCTTATTTTAAACAAAATAACCTTTAAACAATGATTATGAGAAAATGTCCCAAAATAAAGATGTTGTGATATTAAATTGTGAAAAAAAATACTAATTGTCCGTAATTAAAGATAAAATTAAAATTTTGTAACAAATAAACCCATCATTATAAATAAAGATTTTGTGACCGATATTAAACTATTCATCACTACAAATAAACTTTTTATAATTTTGTGACAGATATTTAATTGTCCGTCACTATAACTCAATAATTAGTGATGATGATTTAATAGTTTATCACTATAATTTAATATTTAGTGATGATGATTTAATTGACTGTTACTATAACTCAATATTTAGTGACAGTGATTAAGTGGCCCGTCACTATAAGTTTATCAATTGTGACGGATGGCAATTGTTTGTCACTATATAACAAGATTTTATGCTTTTGTGATGGACATTCAATTACCCGTCACTATAATTTAACATTTAGTGGCGATGATTTAATTGTTCGTCACTATAACTCAATTTTTAGTGATAGTGAGTAAGTGGCCCGTCACTATAAATTTATCAGTTCTGACGGATGACAATTATCTGTCACTATATATCAAGATTTTATGTTTTTTTTGTGACGAATATTCAATTTTCCATTATTATAAATCACAATTTGGTGACGAAGCTTCAACCATCCGTCACTATAATCTCTTTATGGTGATGGAAAATTCCTTTGTCACTAAATAATATGTTTTTAGTGACAGAACTTTAAACTTGTCACTGTAGAATGATTTATAAAACCCATTTTTCTTGTAGTGACGAAAAGATAGTTTGCATTCCACCATCATTACAGGTGCTTAAATACAATGTGTTGGACAATTACAAAGATTTTGAGTATGAGTAAAATAGGAAGAGTTATAGTAAAGTGAAGATAAGAGAAAGAGAGGGAGTCCAAGATGGTCAGTATGTGAAACATGCACGGATTGGACTTTGGTGAGAGTTAGAGTTAGAGTCAAGTGTAGTTGGTTAGTATGTGAAGCATGCATGGGCTTGGTCTTACAAGCATGTGTATTCTAATACTCCTCTCAGGTTGAACTAGGAGTGTACATGGATTGGACAAACTTCCATGTAAGATGATAGAAGGTGCCTTTATCCAATGCCTTGGTGTAGACATCTACCTCTTGAGCATTTTAGGAAACATGCATTGACTTGATGAGGCCAAATTGAACTCTCTCTCTAATGAAGTGGCAGTCAATTGTAATGTGCTTTGTTCTAGAGTTGCTAGCTATAGAGAGAGAAGCATTGTTTTCATAGACGAGAATGGTGGGTTGTGTGGAGATCCCCAAGTCATGAAGTAGATAGGTGAGCCATTGGATCTCATAGGCGGTATTGGCCATGGAATGGTATTTCACTTCAGCTAAGCAGTGAGATACCATGGATTATTTCTTGGAGTTCCATGTAATAGGTTTTGTATGCTGCACTTAGGAATTGATTGAGGTGGCTAACTGTGTATATACAAGATTTGGACACGTGATGGTGAGATATTACAAGCATCTATTGAGGTGACAAAACTTGCATTGAGAGCATCTAATGTTGACGTCCTCTTTGAAGTCACGATGCAATAAGACATTGTTGATGTCTACTTGGAAGATAGACCAAATTTTTATTCTTGTAACTATGGATACAACATATGGTGCCCATCTTTGCTATTGGTGCAAAGCATGGTTTTCAAAATTGGACCAGACCGGACGGTCGGATCGGAAAAACCGGGAATCAGTCACCTGACCGGTTCTGTTTTTCCCAAAAACCGTTGATGTTGGTCAGTAAACCGCTGAACCAGCTGGTTAATTGTTTGAACCGTTTTGACCATTTTTCAATTTTTTTTTTTTATTTTTTTGTCAAAACAGGTCGACCGTTCAACCCAATAACCGGACCCCTAACCGGTTCGGTCACCAGTCAGTTTTAAAAACCATGGTGCAAAGGTTTCTATATAGTAAATGCCCTTGGCTTGTACGAAACCTTTGACAACCAAGTGGACCTTGTACCTCTCAATGGTACATCAAACTTATATTTAATTTTGTAGATCCATTTACAACCCATGACATACTTGTTAGGAGGCAAATCAATGAGGGTCTAAGTGTAGTTGGCTTTTAAAGATTTAATCTCTACGAACATGGTATTACGCCACTTAGGGTCCTTGATGGCATCAGAGAAGGTGTTGCGCTCAACATGGGTAGATAAGGAGAAAATAAAGGCGTCATACGTTTAGGTTTAATGTTAGAGTAGGAAATGTAATTGGAGATTGGGTAGAGTGTACCACATGAAGAAGAAGATGATGATGGAGGCAACCAAGCAGCATGTTGAGATAAGAAGGAGCCGCCTTATGCTCTTTGGTGGACTTGTGCATGGGTAGGGGTGGAGCTCGACTTACCAAAAGAATGTGAGGCTCGAGCTCGAACTCAAGCTCAATTTGAGCTAGAGACTTGAGCTTGAATTCAGCTTGGCTCAAAAGTTTGTACATTCAAGCTTGGGTTGACTGTGAGCCAAGCTTCCTATAAAAAATAAAATATTATATAATATTTATTATTATACACAA